CAGTCGCGCTGCGCGGAGCGGAGCGAGCGCCAGGGCGAAGCGCTGTCCCTTCAGCACCGCCCGGCGCCGCCAGGCAGCCTCCTCCCTGCCCTGCGCGTTCATAYAACCCTGCTCCGTGCCGCCCCGCCGAGCCGCCACCGGTGACCGCGTGCTTTGCAGTAAGTAGGGGAACAGGGGGCACAGGCACCCCCAAAAGGCGGATTCCCCCCCAAAGTGGGCGCGTTTCTCCAGCCACAGGGGTTTGCATGGAGAGCGGGGCCGCAGCTGTGATAACCAGGCCAATTAATATGTGTATGGGTATGCGGCAGGGGGATGGCGGTGGGGCGCTTGTGGGGGCCGTGTTGGGGCTGCTGGCGCAAGGTGCAGCAAAGCGAGCACCCAGTCGCTCCCACCTCGTCTCCAGAAACCTCCTGCGAGCGCCCTGCGTGCCCGGCCGAGCGGGCGGCGGCCGGCAGGAACCCGCGTCCTCCCGCCTCACATCGCTCGTCTCGCCCTGCCAGGTCTGGACAGCAAGGCGCGAGGATGGTGAAGCTGGGGAGTAATTTGAACGACAAGAGCAACAAACAGCCATCCAGCGAAGATGGGTTTCAGACAGTTCCTCTCATCACGCCTTTGGAAGTAAATCACCTGCAGTTCCCCGCGCCGGAGAAGGTAAACCCGGCTCAGATGCACCCACGCAGCCCCTGCTTCCCACTGCCGGCTCTTGGCCCCGATAACATGAATGGTGGCAGAGCCATGAGACATACAAAGGATTAATCTTTCTTAGTGTGTTTATCTGCTTTAACACAAGCACCCAGCTGTCCTCTTGAACCCTTTCTATCYCCTCAAAAATAACCCAATATTAACCACTATTTCTTCATGAGTGCAGCTGGAAAATGCTTAGTGTGTGTCTTATAAATGCTGGAGAAATTGTGGATGAGTTTCTAATGCAGTATTATTGGTCAGATAATTGCTGGCATTCAGTGTAACCCAATGACTCTTCTGAAATCAGCAGCTATTTTCATTCTCTCAGTTGAGGTTTGTTTTCCTCTCCGCGGCTGTGCGGGGCTTATTTGGCTATTCATGATGGTGATTTCTCCAAGGAGAGCGACCACATTCCTTGCGCGATGGGAGGGGATGGAGCGATCCCTGGATTCATCCTGCATTGGCAGGGGAGGGGGCGGCTTTTCCCCCTACCCAGCCAACACTCCCAGGGTGGATTGCAGCATGGAAATGTCCACAACTGGTATCGGTGACTGCCTGAGGGTTGGGGGCTGCAGCTTTCTAGATGTATTATGAAATCTTTTGTCTATATTTGTGCAGTGACAATGCATATCAATATGAGCTGGTGAGGACATGACGAGACCATAAAATCTGTATGCCCCACAGTCCTTACAGAAACAAAGCCTATCTGCAGTGTAGTTCCCAGATACCACAGAGATGGAGCCAACTCACTTGGAAGTACAGACAGAATGACTACAGCTTGCAGGGTAATGGAATAATAGCAAGATTTACACTGATGATTATTGAGCATATATCCTGTTTTTTTTTTTTTTACTGTAGGACAAAATTAAGTTTCTCTAAATACATTAGAAGAACATGATGATGGATGTGGTGAAACTCTTCAGAAAGACAAGCTATGTTTATTTTACAATAGAGCTGAGTCTACAGACTTGCCATTCTGGGAAGCCAACCTTTGTCAAAGGAGCTAGATTCTATTCCCTTTGCCTGCCAAGGCAATCGGGAGCAACTTCGAAGCATTCGGGAGAGTTACACTTCTGTGAATTGTTGTGAGAGGATAAATTGGCCCTTATCAATAGCTCCAATGAATAAGATTAAAGAAAACAACTCAGGTAAAAAGTCTGAGAAGCTCAAACTATAGATATGTAAATGTGTAACTCACTTCATGATGGTATAGGCAGCTTCATGATATATAGATCACATGCTCAGTGTCATAGGATGTGAAATTTAAATGACTCAGATATCAGGCAAGACATGGAAATCCTAACAAAAATCCATTCAAGCTAATAAAGTGATAATGAGTGTTTACATGATCACCAGAATTCAATTGCCTGCTGGAGAAGACRTGTGGGAGTGTATCGGTCTAATGTGAGTCCGTGCTGATTTTTGTGTTTAAACCTGCCTATATCAATAATGCCCATGTTGTTGAGGCACATTATCTTCATTAGCATACATTAGTGTCAATGCTTCTCCTGTCACAAGGGTTTTTTCTGTGCTGGAAGAGTGGGATGTTTCTCCAGAAGTGATAAGCATGATTCAGAACCCATTGAAGTCAGTCATATTGATTTCTATAGGCTTTGCTTCACTTCCTAAGTGTAGTATGCTTAGAGTTAGTGATGATTAAAAATCTGTTGCAAAAAAGAGAGGTCATTTATTATAAGATCAAAATAATTCACTTTTATTTTTTTTACCCTTTATTCTTTGTAGAACAACTTCTGTTGGGTTAAAGTTCACCCTAGGGCAGAGGGCTTGCAGAAAAAGCTGTTAACAAGGAGCTGAGCTCATGTAAAGAGCTTGGGTGAAGGTTAAGTGATAGGAGAGAGATTCATCTTTGTACTTAGTAAAGCAAAGCAACTGATATTGTGAGCATGAGGAATGGCAGATAGGCATTTCTAGTCTTCCAGACTATTTCTGTTTGCATWTGCTTTGCAGTTAGAATGTAAGGGGAAAAAAAAAAGGCAATTTGAGTTTCTATGTATAGAAGGTACTCCTAAAACCTGCCAGCTGTTGGTGGCAGCTTTGAAGAGTGAGCACAGAAGCCACTCTGCTTTCTGGTGTCTCTGGCATGAGATGCTGCATAAATCACTGGAGTCAAAACTGGTGGTTTCTGTGAAACAGCTCAAAAGGGCTCTGCCCTCCTGTTTTCTTCAACATAAATCTATTGCTGCTTGCTTGTAGCCACAAGGAGGCAATGTCCCGGGCCTCTAAGCTCCTGTGATTGCAGATCAGCTGCTGTGAATCATGTCTCATTTCCACTGCAATAAAGAGCTTATGAGCCTTGTCCTTTAAGTGATGTCTCCAAAAGCAAACAAGCAATCCTCTGTTAAATACTCTTTTTTTATTTTTTTTTTTTTTTCTGACTGAGACAGAGTATCTTCTTTTAATATATGGGGTGGCCTTAACCTGGATGTAACCTTGCGTGTAGGAGCAATTTAGGGTGCATCAAAATGGCAAGGAGGAAGCCTGACTGCTCTGCTGGCTCTAGGCTTCGGTCTATGAGGTAGGTTAACATAGATTAACAGCAGCTGAGTGCTTGGCTCGCAGTTGCAGCGTGTTAGGTGTGTGCTGCACCCAACTGCTGCTGCTGGTTCTGSCCCCAATGTTCGTGTGCCACCCCGCAGCAGTTTGCAAATGCAGTTAATTTATAGGAAATTTATAGGAGCCTTTGTTTCTTTGCAGCGTAGCCTTACATACCTGTATGCTAGTCAAAGAAAAATAAGCCTGTTGTTTGTGAGCATGCTTGCATTTGCAGGTCCTCAGAAGTAAACCACAAAGCTCATGAAATTCATGGATCGAGAATTGTTTTTTTATGGGCTGAGAACTATTTCTTTCTTTCTTTCTTTCCTCTAAAAGGCTTTAAATACCTATTTTTATTCTTCTTTTCAATGAATATTTCTGTATTTGGATCACTCAGTGGATAGCTCCAAGTGTGATTCTCAACATCAGTTTTGTAGTTATTTCATTATAGCCTGGTCTCTTTCAAAGTGGTGTTTTTTTTTCTTTATTTCTTTTGTCTCTTTTTTTAAGTTTAAACATAAATTTACTGGCAGTGCTTTTTGGGGATGCTTCTATAACAGACTTGGTCTTTGAAGTGGCTGAAAAGTTCTACCTTGATGCTGCTTAAAAATCCAGGCACTTGTTTGCATGCTGAGGTGGTGATTCAGGGGACTTGAATTTGACAACTGGGTTTGTTTATTTTAAATTATTGCTACTAGTCAATCTAGTCCTTTTTTCCATCAAAAGGGGCTATTTTCTACAAAGATTTGTGTTATTCCTCCTGCAGCATCAACATTTTGGTCATTCTGTCAGCCCTTCCATAGCTGCAAGGGAAGAAATGTACCCAGTATGGTAATTTTTCCTCTAGGGTCCTAAGCCTGCTGTATATTTGTATTTATTGACTATCTTCAAGCATTCGTTTGCCCCTCTCCATCCCTTCTTGCCGGGAGGGGCACTTACAGGTGGCAAAGATGCTCTTAAATCATTTTTGTGTGGTCTTTTTGCTGAAATCCACCCACGTATCAGGAATAATAGCTACTGCCACCGGCAAGCCCTCAACCTGGCTTTTTATGTCTCTGTGTTTCCTTTCTTCTATTCACAAAATGAAAGGAGAGGTCTCCCTTTTCAGAGCAGAGGTGAAAGGCTGCCCCTTTGCTTGTTTTTCTTGTCATAGACAAAGTGCTTTGGATATAATCATTATGCCTCTGTGCAGTGGTAATGCAGCACTTCACAGGCCATACTTTTCCCCAAAAAATCCTAAATGAGACCAAGAATGGGTATCCTTTGGTGTCATGGGCTTGCTTTGGTGTAGTCCAGCGGGAAATGCCGCTGTTCTGGCAGTAAAAATCCTAATTYTACAGAGCACAAAAGTGCATGAAAGCCATTGTCAGGGCTGACAAAAACATCCGGCGTGTCATTTGTGGGGAAAGCTGCAGCAGGCTTCTCATGTGGCCCATTGTTCTTTATTGTGGCTGCATCTGCGGCTTGAGAAATAATCCCTCTGGTGACACATTCCTGCCTCTCAACACAAGAAGGGAAGAAAAGATAGATGCAACTGCTCCCTTCAAACGCTTTACTCACCTCCTGCTCCCATTTTTATCCCCGCTGGGTGCACCCCACTCCAAATGGCCCAGGCTGTGCTTTCGTACAGGGTGATGGAGTGTTCCTGAAAATCAGGAGGGTCCCCTGTGCTCAGAGCCTGTCCCTATGTGTTTCACAGGGGGGRAAAAAAGTTTCTTCCCAGCTAGCTGAGCTGGTGTCACTAACAGCAGGCTGAATGAGGGCTTTTGTACCGCAGGGACCGCTTGCAGCTTTCTCCTGCAGTCCTGATGTCAGTGCTCCCTCCGCAATGCCTAGCAGCGCACGGCAGCGCCAGCCAGCCGGGATGTGCCGAGTGGAGATGGTTTTGGGCACTGCTCTGGGTCAGGGGGCTGGGGCAGCTCAGCTGCAGCTGCCAATATCTGCTGCTGGGTCCCGATCCGGCGCTGCTGGGTCCCGATCCGGCGCTGCTGGGTCCTGATTTGGTGCTGGTGTCCCCATTTCTGCTCACGCTGCCATGAGCTTTAGGGCTTGGCGTGAGAGGGCAAATGGTAAAGAGGAGTGGAAGGGAAGAGCAATCATGGCAGCTGCAGGGAAGAATAAAAGGGAAGGTTGAAGCAACGGGAAAGAAAGCATGAATAAGAGGAGGAAAAAAGAGCATAGAAAATATGAAGGGATGGGCAGGCTATTCTTCCTTTTCTCATCCTTTCCCTATTTAGGAAACTCTGCCTAATCCCCCAAAATATCGAAGTCTGAACCTTCCTGTCCCATGACATTTGTTGCCCTTCTGCCCTGTGCAAATCCATTTGTCCTCTACATGTGAGTTTGAATGTAAACATCGCCTCTGCTCATTAAGCTGTAATAAATAGTTGCGGCCATTCTCACTCTGGCAGTGC